CAGGAGGATAGGGTGCCTGAAGCTCCTGAAAGTTCCCAGCCTGGTAGGCTGAGTGTGCCAGGATGATTTTGTCCATCTGTTTCTTCTCCTAAACCCTTGCCCCTTTAAGACTTTTAAAGCATCTGTTTTTCTTTTGTCTCAGGGCAACCAGCTGTGGGAACCTGTTCGCAGTCTTAGTCTCAGACTTTGCTTTTCCTCTAATCTCCAGAGCACCAATCAGTATGGGTCTGTGCTCCTGCAGTAGATTTCTAATGCTGGTTATTTATCAGTCCTGTGCTTCTACTCCCTCTCCACTCTGATTCTTTTCCTCCCACCAGTGAGCTGGGGTTGGGGGAGTACTCCAGTACTGCTAGGTTGTGGCTTCCCACCTTATCCTTTCCCATTAGATATCGACTTCTCCCAGATGTAGACTGGCTAGTATACTGTTACTTCTGGCCACTCTTTTAGGAATAGTTGTATTTGCTGTATTTTCAAAATGTATGTGGTTTGGGTGGGGCGGGGGGGAGATTTCTGCCACACTACTCACGCTGCCATCTTTCCTGTCCCAATCTAAAGTGCTTTCATCTTCCCTGTTTCAACCTGTCTAGCTCGACTTTTAACCAACCCCACCTGGCTTTAGGCTGCCTGTCACACACTGAGAATCATACTGCCTCCTGAAAAATCCTTTGAAGTTCCCATTTGCTGGAAAGAGCTTAAAATGGAAACAATCCCCATGTGGTCACCTCTCAAAGTTTTGACTCCTCCATATTCTGCCTGATTTTATTACTCAGTTTCCTCTAGTAGTTGTTTTTGTGTTTGCCCAGATTATCAATTGGAGGTTTGCTCTGTATGAGCTTACATATCTGTACTGGAAGCAGTATTCTGTCCCGTCATAATATCCAAATACTGATTCATTGGTAGTTTGGCTATGGTGCTTTTGAGAAGGTTGACCTGTGTACTTTACCTACTTAGGTACATAGCCTTATATTCACTGAACTCTAGGCAGATCTGGTAGCACATTTTTCAGCTTTCTTACATGGTGTCATTCATTGAGCTTGTGTAATTTCTTCTGTCTCCAACAGAGTACTTTACTCTCTGTTATAGAAGGAATAGACTTTCCTGCTATCTTTACTGGCTTCTGGCTGATGGCTCAAAAGCCCTGCAATTTAAGCTGATACTGTAATTTTGTGTTTGTTTATAAAGATCTTTGCATTTTTGGAATCTTGCTCTATGTGTTTGGCTTGCTCATTTTGTATTTCTTCTGTCACTGCTATATACTCAGAGCAAAAGGGTCTCCTCAAAGCCTGAACCTACCAAGTCAGCTTAACAAGTAATTTCAAACTATATCTTAACATTATAGTATCCTATACCAGGTCTAATATTACAACAAATATTGAAAACAAAACATGTATTGAAATATCAGTATAAGACTTCTACATGATTTTAAATTTACTAAAAACAAAGACGCAGAAAGAAATCATTCTCATTAGGAATGTTTCTTTGTTTCTCATTGGATTCACAGAATTGTAGGTCTGAATTGAAAATTCCATAAGAGAATACAATTCAGATTCAATTTCCATAGCTTTTGTTCACAGACAACTTTGCAATGTGAAATACACCATCACTTCCATGGTTCTGACATTTTGCTTCATGGGTGCCAAGAAAAAATCTACTTTTACTTGGTAGGGCATAGCTGGAACACCTATGCTGTCACTTCCAAAAAAATTACTATCTCTGAATCAAAGATACAGTGTGCATTTTAGTTATCTCTTCTATGCACTGACTCTTGTTTGTTTCAGATTTATCTGGATATCTTACCTTTCTCAAAGTACAAAACTTACTGGGTTACAAGTGTTGTGATTGGTCTCTGCTTTCCCCTTTCATCTGGCTCTTTCACCTTATGCACCTCCCCATTTTTAGAAGCTGTTGACCCAGAAGTTGAACAAACTCTGTTGGTTACAAAATCCCTTTCCATGGCTCCTCCCATATTCCTTTCATCCTCTATTTCTTTAGTCTCTAGCACTCATAAAAGAGTTGTGTTAATTCTCTTAATCTATAAGCTTTGCAAGTATGGAGATAAAGTTTGAATTTTTTATTACCGTATTATCACCATTTTGCATAGTGTCTGATATATAATAAGCCCTCACTAATATTTCTTGAATGAAAGCTTTTGTAGTTTTTTGATTTGTTGAACTGTTTAATAATGTCTTGAAATCAGATCCAAAAATTGAAAGACGTATGCTCAGCATGACAGTTAAATTATGACAGTTAAATGGTACAAATATTTGAAAGATTGTAGTTTGCTTGAAGGCAGGAACCATAGCTTTTAAACATTATTTTCCTGTGACCTGAGAGTTGCCAACAGAACAAAAATTATCATGAAATTAAACTGAATAAGTGGATAAAAGTCAAAAATTGAAGTGAACAAGTATTGGTGGGTGAAAGTAGAACAAGTTAGCTTTGAATTTTTAAAAAGTTCTCAAATTCAGAAATTAGAGTTAATCAGCTGCTTTTAAAAATACAACTGATCTCAATGAATTCATCTCACTTCTACTTGATTTTGATATTCTGGAATTATTCCCATATTTTTCTTCATTTTTTCATAAATAGCTTCTAAACCTCAATTTCATAGCTATTGTTACTTACTTTCTTCTCCCTTCAAAGATCATTTGAACCAAATTTCCCCTTCTATCAAGCTTTCCATGGCTTTTTAGTAAATATTCTGTGTCTTTGCTATGAATTTAACTAAACTTTAATGTTTGTACAGTGAGTGGAAGGTTATGTGCTTTATTATTGAGATGCTTAAGAGCCAAATGCTAGAGCCAGATTTCCTGAGCTAGAATCCCATAGGCACCACTTACTAGCTGTACCACTTTGTCTTAGATTTTTTCAGATTCAATTTTCTCTTATATAAATAGAGATAATAACTAGTTCCAGCCTTATCAGATTATTTTGCTATGAGGATTATATATATGTTATATATATGCTATGAGGGTTAATATATGTAAATTACTTGGGACAGTGTCTAGCACATACCAAATGCTATATGATATATTTTTTCTTTATTGCATCTGAGAACTGTTTTTAACTCCTTAAGTTTTAAATATGCTACCCTAAAATTAGGATGAAGTACCTATCTCATTAAGACTGACACAAACAGACCAATGATAAATAGTGTGAAGTAATGGCTGCAAGCATAATTGCTGGAGCCAGACTGCCTGAATCCAACCAGTTCTGTTACTTATTGGCTGTGTTCCTTAGAACAAGTTACTTAAAAATTCATAACTTTTCATATGCTGTTTTCTCCCCTGAAAAATGTGCATGATATACCACCTATTTTATAGAGTTATGCTAAGAATGAAAAGAGTTAATGTGGCTAGAAAAGTGACTGACACATTACTACTCAAAAAAGGTTAGTGGTTTATAATATTAAGCCACCCAGCCTAATAAATTATCACATTATTCAAAGTATTGGTTTTAATGGAAATCTTGTTTATCCCCTAGATTATAAACTCCTAGTAATGGGGATAGTTTTTTCCCCCTAAAATCCTGCTTTACGTCCAGGCTGTATCTCTTATTATATATATGTAAATGTGTGCAGGTGATGCTGAATTTCAGTTAACTTTTCTGTTAAGTAATATTCCTGCATCTCTGTATCATGTATTAATTGTGTTTGGCTATAAGCATCACAAAAGGCAAAGTATCTTTCTATTCTCTTCATAGAAAACTATACCCTGATATTCTACTAAAGTGAAGCTTAAATAAACATGAGATGTATTTTATTCCTATGTGACAAGATGCCAAGGAGTTGGCAGTTGTTGGCCTTGGTTCAGGATCTCAAAGATTTCAAACCAAAGTCTAATGACTTCTTCATCATTGAAATAACACTGCTGTAATGTCTCCATTCTTCATGGCTACATCCCAGTCAGGAAAAAGAGCAATGGAATAGAAAAAGAAGGACACTATATCATGAAACAAACACTTTTCTGAAATCCCTATCTTCTATATACTTTCCTTGACTAGATTGCCATATGACCTTTGTTAGGTGCAAGGTGGTATAGAAAGAGCAGTTTTTAGCTTTAAAATATAGGAAATAAGAGAAAACAGGGCTAGAATAAATGTTGATTGAGTCTACTTATCATATAAGTAGGCTCACCATATGAGGGCTTTATGCTTGAATGATTTAATGGATCTAAGCCTACTTTTTAAATGCTACAGAGACATGTGCAAAAATAGGAACAGTTGTTGAATTTCCTAGAACATCTAATTCCCAGTATGTTGAACATAATTTCTCCTAAGAAAAAAGTAGATCATTTAAAACATTTTGATAAGTTAACAATTTTCTATTTACAAAGTTAAATTACTTTATTTCCCTCAAAACAGTTTAAATTCAGTCCTTAAAAAATTAAATCCTTTTCATTATTTCCCATTTATTACATTAACCATAAGTTTTTGTTGTCTTTCAAATAAGAGAAATGCTGATAAACTTGAGTTCATTCATTCATTCACACAATATAATAAAATCTCATTATAATGCAGTAAGTAGGACCCAGAAAATCCAGTCTTATAAAAGCGAGATAGCATTATTGCAAATTTAATAATATGACCAGGAGTGATTATGGTCTAAGAAAACCTACTAAAGGGCGGCGCCTCTGGGCCCACCCCCACCTCCCCGGCTCCCACCTTGGTGTCTTGTCTCTAGCCCGTTGCCCCGCGAGACCGCGGCCCCGGGGCTCCCATCATCCGCCAACGCCAGGAGTCTGGCCTCCCTGCGTCCTGCCCTCGGCGCCGGGGCGGCCCGCCGCAGGCACGGCACATGCTTGGAGGCTGCTTTGGCGACAAATCCCAAGGACTGCCTATGACTGCGGTGGCAGTACGAGCTGCTCTCAGACGGTGTATGTTCCTCCTTGTTCATTTTTAAGCAGGCTTCCAAAGCTGCTATTGATGATGCCTGAAGCTGCTTTGGAGGCAGAAAACCAACAGTGAGATCAAGAATTGTTCTCTAATGATCTTGCTTCACCATGGCTACAAATATCCAGAGGCTGGTTCAGCACAGAGTGGGGTCCCAACAGGTGGCTGAGGTACCACTTACACAGACTTCTCGGCCGGCATCTCCAGGGATGACCAGCCCCTCCCCGAGTATCCAGATAATCTCCACTGACTCTGCGGTAGCCTTACTTCAGCACATTCAGATTGTGACAGACCAGCAGACAGGACAGATGATCCAGTGACCACAGTGGACGCCTCTGGGTCCCCCAAACAGCAGTTCATCCTGACCAGCCCAGATGGAGCTGAAACTGGGAAGGTGATCCTGGCTTCCCCAGAGACATCCAGTGCGAAGCAACTTGTATTTACCACCTCGGACAACCTTGTTCCTGTCAGGATCCAGATAGTCACGGACTCTGCTTCTGTGGAGTGTTTGCTGGGGAAGGCTGATGTCCAGCGGCCCCAAGTGGTAGAGTACTGTGTGGTGTGTGGTGACAAAGCCTCTGGCCGTCACTATGGGGCTGTCGGTTGTGAAAGTTGCAAAGGGTCCTTCCAAAGAAATGTAAAGAAGTATCTGACATACAGCTGCCGGAGCGACCAGGACTGCGTCATCAACGAACACCACCGTAACTGCTGCCAGTTCTGCCAGCTGAAGAAGTGCTTGGAGACGGGCACGAACATGGAATCTGTGCAGAGTGAATGGAAGGTTTTTGATGTGCAACGGGAGAAATCATGCAATTGTGCTGCTTGCACTGAGAAAATCTATATCCGAAAGGACCTGAGAAGTCCTCTGATAGCCACTCCCACGTTTGTGGCAGATAAAGATGGAGCAAGACAAACAGGTCTTCTTGTTCCAGGGATGCTTGTGAACACCCAGCAGCCTTTGATAAATGAGGATGACACAGTTCTCCTGACCACGGACTCCAAGGCTGAAACAAGCCAGGGAGCTCTGGGCACACTGGCAAATGTAGTGACCTCCCTTGCCAATCTGACTGAATCCCTCAACAATGGTGATGCTTCGGAAATGCAGCCAGAGGACCAGTATGCAAGTGAGATTACTCAGGCATCAGATTCCTTAGCTAAAGTAATTAATACCACAGACAGCTCCTAGCCCCCCAACCTGGCAGATGCGATAGATGCCAGTGGAGGAGGGGGCATCCATGTCATCAGCAGAGACCAGGCCACACCCATCATTAAGGTCAAAGGCCCCTCCTTTCAGACACTCACGTCACATTTAAGCTCACAATGCCCAACCCAATGCCGGAGTACCTCAAAGTGCACTACATCTTCGAGTCTGCATCCTGCCTGCTTTTCCTCGCCATGCCCTGGGCCAGGGCAATCCCCTCCTTTCAGGCTCTGGGACAAGACTGCAACACCAGCCCGGTGCAGGCATGCTGGAACGAACTCTTCAGTCTCTCCATCATGCTGGCAGCCATTGTCAACCACCTGCAGCACAGCATCCAAGAATATAAGCTTTCCAGCAACCAGATAAAGCAAGTGATGGAGCACATCTGGAAGCTGCAGTTCTGCAACAGCATGGCAAAGCTGGACATCGAAGGCTATGAGTATGCCTACCTGAAGGCCATTGTGCTCTTTAGTTCCAGTCATCCAGGTTTGACCAGCACAAACCAGATTAAGAAAATCTATGTTCAGAAAACCTACTCAGAAGATACCTACTGATTAGCCCTAATTCTCGTCCGCCTGCCAGCACTCAGGCTGATGAGCTCTAATATCACAGAAATTTTTTGCTGGTCTCATTGGCATTGTTTCAATAGACAGCATAATCCCCTACATCCTCAAGATGGAGACTGCAGAGTATAATGGCCAGATCTCCAGGGCCAGTCTATAGTGTGCACCCCTCAGCGGCCCAGAAGCTAAAGGATCCTCCCCTGCCCGCTCACAGACAGGATAAAGGGTATTGTGGTATGTGCAAAGATCTCCGGTATGCTAGCCATCTCCTTCCTGGTTTCTTAACTGTTAATCCCAGACACAGCAACTAAAAGACTAGTAGGATCCTTTCTTGACATAAGAAATGTTATAATGCCTTTTGAGGAAGCAGATTCTGAAACAATCTTTTAACTCAATTTGTGTTTAGAAATTCTCAAAGGGCAAAAAACAAAGTTTTATAATGTTGGATATTAGTTAAAGAAAACTAAACATAAGAGAACAGTACGTGTATGCATATATAAAATAGCTACTAATTACCAAGATAATAATATTAGCACTTTATAAGCACTTCTTATCAATGTGTTTTGTTGCAGTATCGTGTCTGTGGGCAGGGCAAATGGAAAACTGTGTATGTCTTTTGCCAAAATGCTAACAATTTCTGTGAAAACCCATTAGGGTACAGGAGACAAGAAAAATTCCTACTAAGAATTTTGACCCCAACTGTGCCCTAGCATTACCTGGTATCAGATGTGCATACTAGCTTAAATACCGATGGAATTAATGTCTGTTCTTGGGCTGACATGGAACATCTGGGACAGTAGCAGTGATTTTAGCAATTTTGTAGTTGTTTGGTGACCATTCTTTTGACTTTTCCAAGAAGAACAGTCTGGGAGAAAAATACACTGGGAGAAGGTCAAGAGACACCTTTTGTGAGACAGGATTTCTTATTCATTCCCTGTGACTAGCCTTATATATCATCCTCATCCATTTCCATTTACCCCTTCAAGGTAAGAACTTAACCTCACCTTGTTTAGGAATGGGGGCTGGGTGAATTTACCTTCCTATATGGTTTTACTATGAATACTTATGTAGTACCTATTATGTGGCAGGCACTATGTTTGGAACCAAGGGGACTTATTGGTAAATGAACAGATAAATACATAACTACTAATTTGGATAAATGTGACAAAAATGAATCAAACACCATGAGAGAAAAAAAATGGTACCAACAGAATGGTTGGGAAAATACTTGATGAGAAAGTTATATTTAAGATAAGAACTGAAGGATGAGAAAATACAACAATCAGACTCCTTGCAGCAAACAGATGGTACAATCCATGTGATTAACAAAAATTTTTAAGGAAAGGAAAACAACTTAAGAGGAATGGGCATGGTGTAGGAAAACTTACAGGGATAGCACAGCACTTCAAATCTAGTAATAATATTTGCTGGGCAGAAGGGGAAGTAGAGGGTTTGACACTTCTAAAAGAGGCAAGGAAAATGAGCTCTTATTCTGGAATTTGGGTGTGAAATTTTTCATATATATTGTAGAAGGATACAACCGACTCCTAGAAGGTCATTTACTATGTTTTCACGTGACGGTGTTTTTGTACAATTTAAAAAACTAATATATTTAAAATTCAGTCATTTTCCTCTCTGACTTCCTCCCTGTCTTTCATGTTGGTTAACTCTGGCCACTTTTGGGATCCAGCCAAAGTGAATTCAAAATTATTGAAATATTTGAGTTTAGCGGACTCCAGGATTTGTAAACATTCCATCAGTTAGGTTATTTTTAGCTGTTCAGATGTGATGTTGTTCAGGAGAACTTAATACTTCCAGGTTGCTGATTCGCTCTGCCTAAGTGACAGGTCCAGAGGTCTGATCATTATATAGGCACATCTTATAGCACCAAGTATGGGAAATGTGGTAGTAGTGGAGAAGAGAATAATGGATTTTTAAATGTTCAGAACCAGATGCTAGTCTGTGGAAAACTCTTTCAACATTCAAACATGTCTAATTTCAAGCAGGAGAATAGGTTCCTCTGATGCTTTATCAAAATGAAAATTCCTGTGAAAAATATGTGGAAAGTGCAGAGGGTAAAATTTTAAAAGTACAGTGCATTTCTTCTTTTATGATGGAAATTGTACAAAATATAATAAACCAGTATTCCTGTGCTTATAGAACACCAAACCCCAAACAATGATACAAGTACCTCTATGTTTGTTATGATGCATATTTTACAAATCCTAAGTATCAATATTTCTTAATTAATTATGCTAGTAGATAGAATCATTATATTTTCTATTCACTAGATGGACACACATGCAGAGGTGATCAAAAAGTATACAACCAAACAATATACGAGAAATGTGTCAAGGAGTTGATTTAATCAATTGCACTCTTTTTCTACTATACTTGTAATTTTTGTGGTATATTTCACATTTTAGTTAATTTTTATGTGGTGTCCCTTCTTGGTGTGAATATATTCTTTCAGATAAATTCCTAATATTATCTTCTTTTTTCTTAAAGTGGCTTCACAAAACTTAAATCTCCCCTTGAACCAAGGGTGCTTTCTTAATAAACTTTTCTAGTGAGAAAAGAGACAAGGAGCACTTAGCAGGCTTCCAATGTCTTAAAAGGCCTCACTTGTCCTTAACTGAACTTTCTCAAACTAATAGCAAAACTGGAACCATTTCTGGGAAGACACAGTTTACTTTATAATTAGAAAATGCCAACCATCTACCACAAACAATTATACTCATTAATTCTCAGGAAGTAGAAATGCCTATGTGTGAGAGAGAACTTATCACTACTACTGATTATCTTGAAAACAGATCTTAATGACACCATGTAAATAAATTAGTAAAATGGTTTATTCTATATATTCTGTTTGAAGGCACCACATAAAAGCACACACCAAAGGTAATATTTTCAAGGAAGAGTTCGTCTAATAAATCATATCTCAGTGATAAACATATTCAATGTAATTATTCAGTATTGTGAAGCCTTATCAATGGTCTGTAATTTTTATCAATTTTATAATATCTATACTTAAGTATTCATGTAATTTATTCCATTATATTAATTGTTGGTTAAAACACACCACAGCATTTTAATTTCCTACCTATGTTAATCTAAAATATATCAATTTACTTCTTAGTCACACTTTTGGAAAAATAAATGTAAAAAACAGTCTTGAAGTGATGTTCAATCTGTCCTTCAGACTCCAAGGATATTGCAAAGGATGTGTGTCTACACCTCAAACTCAAACTACTCAAAAAAGTTATTGTTATTTGTCATCTATACCTGTAGATCTTTTGGAGAAGAGATGGGTTTCCATAGAGTAAAGTAATATTTCTGAAACATGAAAATGATCCTCTCACTCACATACTTAAATCCTTCATTATCTTCTCAGTGTCTCTAGGATAATATTCGAACCCATTAATTCATCTGTAGACCTTGACTAATTATTCAGCACACCTGCCACTTCACACTAGGTTCCAGCTGTGCTGCACTCAGTTCGGTGATTAGGTCCTGCTCTTTCTCAGCCAGGCTTTCTTTTGTATGTGTAGAATGGTCTACCTTCTCCTTTTCAGCTGACAAATTCCTATTCATCCCTTTCAGTTACAAAGGATATTTTTATTTATTTTTAATTGAAGTATAGTTGGGATACAATATTATATTGGTTTTAAGTATACAACATAGTGGTTCAGTATTGTATACATTATTAAATTTAATAATGTTCACCCCAACTATCTGTCAACACAGAAAGATGCTATAGAACCACTGACTAAATTCTTCATGCTGCACTTCCATCCCCATGAACAACTTACATTATGATTGAGATTTTTGTGCCTCTCTATCCCTCTCACACTCTTGCCACTCACCTACTCCAACCCCTCCCCCATTGTAACTACCAGGCACTTCTCAGTGTCTATGAGTCTGTGGCTGTTTTATTTTGTTTTGCTTTGTATTTAGGATCCACATGTAAATGAAGTCATATGGTATTTGCCTTTCTCTGCCTGGCTTATTCCACTTAGCATAATAGTCTCCAGGTCCATCCATGTTGTCATAAATGGCAGGATTTCTCTTTTTTATGACTGAATAATATTCCATTGTGTACGTGTACCACCGTTTCTTTATCCATTCATCTGCTGATGAATACAAGTTAACTTCTTTTTAAGAGATATTTTCTTGATCAGTATAGCAGAGGATAGTTGCATGATTTCCCCAAAGGAAGTCTATGAATTCTTGTTTCTCTCTTTTTCTGCTAAAGGACAAACTCTGTTAGGGAAGGAACAGGTCCACCACCTTTTCTGTGACTGGCACATAGCAGATACATTGAATGTATTAATATATACCTTTTTGGCAAGTTTGGAGATTAGTTTCCCACTTCAACTGTTGTGCTAATTGAACAAAGCTGTTACTCCATATCCAATTGCTGAACTTATTTCCTGAAAATAGCAGTAAACAGAGATAAAACTTATATCTTTGGGTTCTACTAGAGTGGGTTGGTATGGAGGAATCCACATAAATAAACACTCAGCACTGAGGGGCATATTCAGAAAACAGGGAGTTGTCATTTCCAGTGGGATATAAGTAAATGAAAGACAGCAGGCTGGAAATTAGACAGAAATGGCAAGTTAGAGCCATATTAATAGGGGCTTTCTAAGCTGTGAACTTTAGTTTCTGGTTTTATATTTTAACTATAATTTCTATTTAAAAACTTTAATAGCATTATCAAAACTGTTCTTGCAGGTAGATAGCTCTGATAATTGTATGGGCGTGAATGAAGAAAGATCCTTGGGAAGAATTTTCTTGAAAAATTCCCAGTGATAGGAGGTATATAGAAAAGAGAAGGGGAGAGGAGAGCAGTGAAGAGGCAGAAGCAGAGTAGAGAGTAGAGGAGTGGAATAGAGTCAGGGGAGTGGAGAAGGAAGCAGTGGGTAAGAGAGGGGAAGAAGGAGCACAGGGGAGGGAGAAGAGATTGGGCAAGGGGAATCAGAAGCAAAAGTTTTTTTCCAGAACAAAAGGAGAGAAGACACTGTTAAAAAAAAATAAGAATGGTAAATGAAGGAGAAAGGTATGGCTTTGCTGCTTTTTTTTCTTTTTATGCATAATTTTTAGTAATGGGACTATTCAGTTTCCACATGTCACCATGCAATGTACTCTGTATAATTT